AGAAAGCAAGTTGGATGAAAGAGATTTTAGAAAAAATAATAGAGATTAAAAAAGAAATGAGAGAGTGTGAAGGAGGGAGGTAGAGAAAGAAGAAAAGAGTTGGATGAAAGAGATTTTGTAAAAAAATCATTCAAAATAATAGAGATTAAGAATAAAATAAGCAAAGTGAGAAAGAAAGAGAGAGGTAGGGAAAGAAGAATAAAGAAAGTTGCATGAAAGATTTCGAAAAAAAACATTGAATATAAAAGAGATTACGAATAAAGTAAGCAGAGAGAGAAAAAGAGAGAATGAGAGCAAGAAAAATAAAGAGAGTTGGATGAAAGAGATTTTGGAAAAACATTAAAAATAATAGTGATTAGGAATAAAATAAGCTGAGAGAGAGAGAGAGAGAGAGAGAGAGAGAGAGAAACAAGAAAAAGAAAAAGAAAAAATACTAACAAAAATCTGTGTAGGAAAAAAGAAAAAGAGCGCATATGTAAAAACTAAAGAAAAATTACAAAAAGCAAAAAAAAAATGTAAAGAGAGTACATATGAAGAAGAAAAAGAAAAAAAATACGAAAAAGAGAAAGAAAGAGAGAGAAAAAAAAACGAAAAAGAAAGAGTGAGTAAAAAATAAAATAAGAAAATGAAAGTGAAAAAAAAAGAAAAGAGAAACATCAGTAAAACGGAAATGGATAGCAAGAAGGAAAGACGAAAAGAGGGTGAAAGAAGAGAAAAATCAGAAGCGGAAAAGTAAATGAGAGAGGGGGAGAGAGAGAGAGAGAGAAAGAAAATGATAAAGAGTAAGAATGATATAATAAATGGGGGAATGTGTAGATAAACAAAAAGATTGGGAGGAAAAAGACAAATTCTGGAAATGAGAGAAATTGAGAAAGCATGAGAAAATTATCGCAATCTTTTTTGAAAATCATAATTCTGTTAAACAATAAAGAAAAAACAGTTGCCCTTCGATGTGTGCATTCTTTCATCTGCAATATACGAAAAGATATGTAATATGTAAATAAGCCTATCATTTTTGACGGGTACTATGCTTGTTTCTCGAATGTAGTAAGAAAGGTAAGTAAGATAGCGTTGCTTTAGGAATATTGTGGTATGTTCGGGTCAGTGTTTGTGGCTAGCTAAGTTTAAATTTAAGACAGAAGAAGACCGTCCTTTTCCCCCATTCCCAATTTTGGCCTTGTGCCACATTTTGTAAATAAATATTTGTACAAATAAATATCACTCTTCGCTATGGTAACTACACTTTATGAATTTAAGCGCGTTACTCGACTGGTGACGAGGTCTCACCAATTTATGAGTTGGTTACACATGCTAATAGTTTCTTTTCTCGTACTTCTCGCTTGTGGAACACTCTTCCATCTCCATGCTTTAATCTTTAAAAATTTAAATGCAATGTCAATCGCTATCTACTGTCTTTCTGATTAGCCTTCTTTTGTTCTCACTCCTTAATGTTTCATGTTTTTTTAATTCTTCCGCGCCCAGTAATTCCTTGCAACTTAGTGGCTTTACTGCCTTGCCTGGGGTGAACTTGATAAAAGAAAATATCTCAAAAGCTCAGAGTAAAAATATTGTAAGGAAGGATGAAATTGTATTCGCCTTAAAACCTCATACAATTGATAAATTTTGGATAAAAAGCAAGAAATGATGAAGATACTCATCAAAATTTCGTTAGGAACAAGGAAAATCTTTCATCTCAAAACCTCAGACAACTTACTGCCATAAATAAATCCTGTCTGAACACAGACGCCAGTCATTTAAGTAACCGCCTATGAATTATAATACTTGAAGTTTAACGGTCATATTACATTTGTTACAAGGAGAATGTCTGCTCGTTTACTTTATTGATTAACGAAAGTCAGTTTACCAAATTTATTAAATGATCAATAGGCCGAGTGATCGATCAACCAGTTATAGGTTCAAGAAAGAAAACAGAAGAACCAATCTTGGCTTCGACATTAATTTCTTTCTATGTCTTCATTAATGTTCTTTATAAAATTATTTCTTCGCAAACGTTGAAAAGCACAGGTTAAACATTTGCACAATAACCGGCAATTATCCTCTGGGTTAGGGGGTCGTGAATAAGTGAACTTTTCATTTGCTCATCATTTGTTCATTTCTTTTTCTTTTCTTTAGTTCTTCTATGTGCAGTGTCCCTTTAGGATGTGGGCGATCACCGTTCTCCACAACGTCCTTTGTAGCTCTTCTTAGCAATGCTTGTATTTTTACTATACCTCTCATCGTGGGTCGGCACCCTTTTGCTAACTATATGCCGACTTAGGGTTTTAAAATTATTCAGTGTGCCAACAGCATACGTATTTTTAGACAAGTCAAAATCAATATACCTGTTCTACAATATATTTTATATAGTAATATATAGTATATATATATATATATATATATATATACTTTAGTATATATTAAAATTGAAGCAGTTAAATATTTTCTTTGCGTTGTAGTAGTTATTGGTTCGGACTTCGTGATGTCATTTGCGGCTGCGTGCCACTGGAAATTGCTTGGCGTGCCATGTGTGGTACGCGTGCCATAGGTTGCCGACCCATGCCTCCCATTTTCTGTTTTACCATCTATTCACACAAGGTCTTGCTTTTTTACTAAAAGAGATCCAGAATTATAACAATTTAAAAAAATGAAGACCATATCGCATGTTAGTTATGCACCATGCGGAGAGGGACAAAGAAAGAAAGGCACACAGGTGATGGAAAGAATATAGGGAGCAAGAAAGAAGTTTACATTAAAGATAAGAAGAAAAAGATGATAAGACGAGAAGAGTGAGAAATAGCTAGAAAAAAAGAGGATGGAAAATTAACAAAGAGAATGAACAAGTCAAAAGAAATACGAAGAAAGGAAAGAAGCGGTAAGAGAAGAATGAAAATGAAGAAAAAGGAAAAGGAGTCAGAAAAATAAAAAATTATGTAAGGAAAAGAAAACGAACTTTTACTGAACCAATTCCGTAGCTCTTTCTGCTAAAACCTAACACAGGCTTGTAGGTCTTACATTTCAACACCGCTGATTGAGCGCCGGGACAACGCACGATCGAGACAAGAAAAACATAACTTTTTTTCATAATTGAATAAAAGTAATTTATTAGGATTAAAACCTTAATTAGTAAAAATTTTGTAAAATTATTTTTAATAAAGTAAATCGGAAATAAATTTATTTTTAATAAAGTAAAAAATATTCACTAATTAAGGTTTTAAATCCTCAATAAATTACTTTTATTCGGTTATAAAAAAAAGGTATTTTTTCTGGTGCTGTGTTGTCTCGGTTCTGAGTTGTCACGGCGCTTAGTCGGCGATATTCAGTCGGCAGTGTTTAGTTGTCCTGCACACTTCCCGCATTAATTGGGGTGAAATGATTTCAGCTAGTAGCTTGACTATTACTAATTAGGAAAGTTGCTACAGTTACTGTTCTGTAAAATTTTGGTTTGTTGCTACGTGTAAAAATATATAACCTTGTAATTTGCCCTTATAAGAAACACGATATTTTCTTTATTTTTTAATGATAGATTGGGAAAATATATGCACAGCTAAGGACCCTGTCTAGAAATGCTCTTACACTAAAGGAGAAAAAGGCATTAAATAAATCCTCTCTAGCGACTATTTTAATAGCTACCTACAATTATGTTGTTTGAACATATACAAGAGAACATTACCTTGCCGTTGGTAACTGTGTGCTGTCTTTACTTTTGAGTGAACATTTGTTTTTTTGATTTATAGGCAGAACAAATTTACTAATTAAGTGATCTATTGATCATTCAACCAGTTATAGGTGAGACCACTAAAAAGGAGCCAAACTTGGTTGCCAAATTACTTTCTTTGTGGGAATTATTATTTTATTCAGTTTATTTTATAGTTCAGGTAACATTTATGGAGTGAAAAAGAAGGTAACAAATATAAAGTAAGAAAAAAAAAGAAAAAAGGAAGCAGTTAAGAATGAAGAAAAAGGGGAGATAACTAAACAAAGAGAATGCGAAACAAGAAACTCGTGTGGAAGAAAACTGGAGACTGAGAGAGACTTTGATGAAATAAAGACAAATAAAAAGAAAGACAGAGAAAAACGGGGGGGGGAGAAAATGGTAGTAAAAAATACATAAACGCGAAATGAAAGTGTGTAAAACTGTAAAAGAGAGAAAGAAAGATGGAGAGTAAAGAAGGGAAAATTATGGAAAACAAGCAAAAACAAAAGATAGATAGATGAATAGATAGATAGATAGATAGATAATGAATGAATAGATAGATAGATAAAATAGATAGATAGATAGAGAGGGGGAGAAAGAGAAAGAAAATGGAACAAATAGAAAATTAAGAAGGAAGGAGAAATTAAGTCTCCCGGGAAGAGATTTTCATTCGGTGGCATAATGGATAAAAATTAGATAACGAACTGAGGTAGATAAATAAGAATGTAGATAGATAGATAGATAGATAGATAGATAGATAGATAGATAGATAGATAGACAAGGGTAGATAAACAAATATAAATACATTGAGGTCAATAGACAGATATGTAATGTAAATGATAGATAGATAGATAGATAGATAGATAGATAGATAGATAGATAGAAATACAATGAAATAGATAGATAGATAGATAGATAGATAGATAGATAGATAGATAATGAAATAGGGTAGATAAATAGACAAATATATAAATAGATAGACAATGAACAGACTGCGTTTGCTAGCGAGAAAAATAAAAAAGATTGACAGATATGAACAGAGAGAGAGAGAGAGAGAGAGAGAGAGGGAGAGAGAGAGAGGGAGAGAGAATATCAACGATGTACTTGACCATAATTATTTAAAATATTACAAATAAATGCAAGAATTTTTATGATTTCGTCTTTAAGAAGAATCTTTTTTGTCTTTGATCGTTGTTACACTTGCCGGCATCTTCTCTGACAAGATATGCGTTAGATCTTTTTACTGATTCTGGAAATGGCAATAAAAATGCATTAAGGGTCAGAGTGAGGGTAAGTTACAAAGGAAGGTTGAAAAATTATCTTGGTAAGGACGGACAATTATGAACGAATATAAAAATCATTGCTGATCAGATACTTTTCAATAAAAATTAATTTTAAGAAGAGAGAAAGTAATATGACTTTGGCTATACAAGAAAGAAAGAAAGAAAGAAAGAAAGAAAGAAATTCAGGAAGGAAAAGAAAGAAAGAAAGAAAGAAAGAAAGAAAGAAAGAAAGAAATGAAATGAAATGGCAACATGACAAAGAAGAAGTAACGGGGAAAGAAAGAAAAAAATGAAACATGACAAAGCATGAAGAAAGAAAGAAAGAAAGAAAGAAAGAAAGAAAGAAAGAAATGAAATGGCAACATGACAAAGAAGAAGTAACGGGGAAAGAAAGAAAAAAATTGCAACATGACAAAGCATGAACAAAGAAAGAAAGAAAGAAAGAAAGAAAGAAAGAAAGAAAGAAATGAATGACAACATGACAAAGAAGAAATGATGAAAGAAAGAAAGAAATCCAGAAAAAAAGAAAGAATGAAATGGCAACATGACAAAGAAAAGATGAAATGACAAGGAAAGAAAGGCACACAGGTGATGGAAAGAATATAGGGAGCAAGAAAGAAGTTTACAGTAAAGATAAGAAGAAAAAGATGATAAGACGAGAAGAGGAGAGATTGGGAAATAGCTAGAAAAAAGAGGATGGAAAATTAACAAAGAGAATGAACAAGTCAAAAGAAATACGAAGAAAAAAAGAAGCGGTAAGAGAAGAATGAAAATGAAGAGAAAGGAAAAGGAGTCAGAAAAATAAAAAATTATGTAAGGAAAAGAAAACAAACTTTTACTGAACCAATTCCGTAGCTCTTTCTGCTAAAACCAGACACAGGCTTGTAGGTCTTACATTTTAATCATCGTTTACTGAATGTTTATAATGAAATAGCCAGAGGCTTTATAAAGATTGATGGGAAATATTAACTATTCAACCCACAACAAAAGAGAAAGATAAAAAAGGAAGTTAGTTGCGTATTTTATCTCCAAAACGTCAATGAATGTTTTTCTTTCTCTCTGACATCCTTGACCTCTCTTTTGACGGTTAAAATTTGTTTAATGGTCATTTATATAAAACAAAGAGTAAGCTCGACTGATCGCTTACATGTTGGGCATAACAGTCTGGATAATGTATCTCATGTTTAATCCAATTTGTTCAATTTGAATTTTCTATAAGATAGAAAGAGAATTATTTTCTCTTCCAAATATTAAGTATGTTGATTTATTCATTCAGAAGCGAACGTCATTTGTTTTAAATCTTCAAAGTCGAAAATTAATATCCCACTCTCAATAACGCGTGGGTTTCTTAGAAGACTTATTTTTAATAAATCCCAGTCACGTGATGTCGCATAGAATCTTTGTTTGCGTTCTACTCTGTGGAATCAAGGTAACTTCACCTAACTACCGGCAAAGTTATAGACAAAAAAACATGCCTGACAATGTTTTTTTTTTAAACAAACCTTCCTTATTTACATTCTAACAGTTATACTCAGCTTTGTTGCGATTATCACAACGTTACTCTCCACCCTTCTTTGGGTGTCTGTTTTGAGTTATAAGCTCCTGGTACATTTGACCCGCTAACAATTATGGTGGACTCGTGTAAGTCCAAAGGAAAAATAAGACATAGAATTTGAACAAAGAAATATTAACAAATCTATTGTCAAGACATTTTACAAAAGAAAAGGTGAGAAATGAAATGAAATGGGAAAAGGTCAAAGCAACCTCAAGTGTCTGTAGTTGATTACTGACATTTTTCAGGAGTGAAAAGAATACGTCTTTTCGCTATGAAAAGTCACCGAAAAATAGATCTAGTCTTTCAAATCTCGCGCCGCCTGTAAATATTGTCAAGGGGCGATAATTCAAAAATCTCGCCGCAGTGAGATTTTAACATCAGGGGGCGATAATCCAACAATGTCTAGGGATATCTCGTCTTGTTTTTATAGGGCCACTACATCAACACAATTGTTACTGCTGTAGTTTATAGAAATTAGGTTTTTACGCAATGGAACTGCCAACCCCATTCCGTGTTTGAATTCATTGTGGTTCTTCTCCTATCCTGGCAACCAACTAAACATATTTTGTTGTTTTTATTTAGTACTGTTCAATTATTGCTGACCTTTTTACCATCGACTCTTAATCTGTACCACCTCGTCCAGGGATTGGACTCACATTTACAATGTCAACAAATTCACGAACTAACGCTTTACGCCATTAAGCTATTGTTCAATAGGAATGCCTGAATGTGACATTTTGTTTCTTAAAGGTGTTCTAGTTCCAAGAATTGGTTATGGTAAATGTTATCTTTACATGAGTCAGATTAAACCAAAAATAATGTATTGTTGCCATATATGGGCTGGAACAGCCTAATCCTCACTTTCAAGCTTTGATAGCATTCAAAATTGATGTCTTGGGAGTGGGGAGATATATTCTCTACTGTGTAGCCTGTCATTACTCGATTCCTATTTCCAGTGCAAGTGTTCAAATGAGTTCCACTCTTTAGGTCTATCAATTGAGTTATTTACAGCTAAGACACATCATGTCACTTCCACGGAATTAAATCCCTCTTATTTCCCCCGTATTCCAGTTGTAATGAGAAAGTTCAACTCAGACAGCTCTTTGATAAAAATTGCAACTTTTTGGAATATAATCCTACGTGGATATTTTCCTGAACACGATAATCTTAAGCGTTAATCTCTGTCTATTCACTTTATCCTCATAATTTTAATTTCCCACATCCTTTTCTTTTATTCATATCACACACATCATTCATCCTAATCCTTGTAACAGTAACCCATTACATTGAGTGGCTCTCTGGCCTATTATTTTGTGAACTTTAGTATCAAATAAGTCATAAATAATTAAAAATAACTAGAAAAACCCGTGAAAATTTCATGGTTTTCCTATTTAAAATTTTCTGATGAATCTTAATTCTTCAGCTAATGATTGAATAAGCTTACAGCGAGTTTTACGTCCATAAAAATATCCGTAGAATTTCTCCTATCGCATCGTTAAATATTTGAGCTTAACAACTTTAAGAAAATATTGTAAATAACACTCATAAATATGAATGTTGGGGGCATATCGACGTCGTGTTATGGTTAACAAGATTGTCTCGCTCGATCAATTACGACTGAACTGTGAGTTCGATCTTCATTGGGTGCCCCATACTTTGTTCCACATCTAGGCTACGCTTAGAAGTTCCCTGGGGACTTCGACGTGGTGTAACGGTTAGCAAGCTTGTCTCGCTAAATCGACTACTACTGAATAATGAGTTCCATCCTCACTGGGTGCCCCATTTTTTTTACCTTAAATCACCATAAATATGAATGTTGGTTGGTATTTAAGAAGTGGGTACAAATGAAAAGATTTGAAATTGATAACTTTTCTCATTTCGCTGAAACAGCTATTAAACACTTCTATCTTACCTTCTTTCATTTATTTTCTCACTGAAACCAAGTGGCGTCAATGATATGTATTTTATTTTTCTCTTCTTTTCTCGCGTAATCAAAACGGAATAGTCTACTATTTATGAGGTATTGGCAAGAGACGTTAACATTTCTATCTTCCCTTTTTTGTATCTTCCTTTCTTTCTTCCTTCCGTCTCTTCTTTCTTTCTTTCTTTCTTTCTTTCTCACTCACTGAAACCAAGTAGTGTTTTTCTTCTCTTTCCATGCTATCAGAACGGAATAGTCCATTTATGAGGTATTGGCAGGGCGTAACGGTCGAGTGAACTAACGAAAGGAGGGAAAAGCACAATTATAATAGGATTATACGAATTATGCCAGACAAAAAAATCACTTCAGACATTCAGTCTAAATTTTATTTCATCACGAAAATTACTCTTTTGTCGGAAAGAAAATCTAATGATGCAAATAACTTGGAAGAAAGTTCGAAATTTTATTTAAAAAAAAAAGAAGTTTTTCGTAACGAATTAAGCTCGGCTTCGTCAAACCAAATATTAAAATTGTCTTTGTAATAATGAAAGATGATTAAGTTGTTCCTAATACGAGACACAGTCCAAAAACTTTCATTTCCGACATAAAATTAAAAAAAAAAAACAATGTATTACGACAGCAAACAAAATTAAATAATACAATAAAAGACAAACTAGATATCACTATTTTACTGTTAAACTAGATAGATGCAACCGTCAGTTCTATTCTAATATTTTCTTTTCTTGCACTTTTCGCCTCTGGAACTCCCTGCCGATTTCTTACTTCCCTGATAACTACAATCTTCAAAAAATTAAACGCAACCTCAATCGCTATCTTCTTGAAACCTGTTCTTCTATTGTCCTTTTCCTCTCTTCTCCACACTAAATTCTTTTAATTCTCTCTGACATCTTGTAACCTCGTGTGTCCTACTGGCATTATCGCCTCCCTTGGGGTGAAATGATTAAAAAAAGAAAAAGAAAAAGTCTAGTATGTAACTGAATAAAAGTTATGGTTTGCTTTGGTTTACGTCATATCAACTTTTTCCAGCATATAAGGGGTCCTCGACTTACGACGGAGATCCGTTCATACGACGCGACGTAACCTGATTTTCGACGTAGGTCGGAACTCACCTACAGAAGCAGCTACAAGTCTGTCTTGCGCTTGGGAACCATAATGAAGCGCAAAAAAATTCCCCTAAAAACGACACAAGCGAGAGAGAGCGAATGTAGCGAAATCAAATATGGCGTACAGCCGGTGAAAAAACAACGCCGTCTTCTTTATATGCGTGACGACGTATTATATTATCGGAGGTGGTGCCGTAACCACGAAACGCCGTATGTCGGGTCTAACGTA